ATATGAAGAAATGTGGGCTTCAGAGTGTCATTTTCTATAATGTATCATATTTCATTTTATGAAATATTGAAACTTTCTTTTAAATGCAGTTTCAAGTTGTAAGATTGTTTCAAATCTTCATGATCATCTTTTTGTCTGTGCTTCCATGTTTATGCAATGGTGGCTATTATTTTAATTATCTTTTTTTTTTGGGGGGGGGGGGTGGTAATTTTCAAACAGATAACTCTGCAAAACTCAGTCAGTCGCACAAGTTTAATTTTCTTTAAGTGGAATAAATTTTGTGCCCCAAACTATGCAAAACACACGTTAAATTTCGCATAATTTTTGGGTGAAATAAATGGGAAAGGCTTTAGATTGGCCAATTGTTCTTTCCGGTTACACAACCATTGGTCATTGGTTATATCATGTGATTTTCATTTTTGGATGAAATAAATGGATAATGAATATGTAAGGCTGAAAAATATCAAAATATTTTGTTTTTTTCTGTCTTTATTGAATTGCGTCCATTTTCCTTTCATGGATTAAAGGGGAAGTCTACCCGATATTATGTTAGTTTTAATATAAGCAGAAAAATGAGAGGAACAGGTAAGTGAACGTTAAAGAAAATTATCGCAATCAAACACAAATTGAAAATACTATGCCGTTTCTTGCAAGCTCCTCTCCAAATTGCTTGGTACATTTCATTTTCTTCGTTATTGATGACAGATTTTTAAATCATATATACCGGTACAGTGGTTGAACTGAAACATGTTTGCCAATTGCTCAAACTTTCATTAACCTGTTTCTCTCATTTTTCTGTTACTATTAAAACATAATATCAGTCTCAAAAATAACAAGTCGACGCAAAGCGTAGCATCCCCTCGCAGGGTACAAATGGCCTATATACATCAGAACAAGTTACACATATATAATTAGGTGTTTTAGCATATTTAATGAGCTATGACCTTTCACCTTTGACCTACATACTCAGAAATCAAACTTAGGCTGTATATGTATTTTGATACCATGTACCTTCATATCAAATTTCATTAAAATTGGTCAAATATTACTCAAGTTATCGAATGGAAACCAGATTCGCATATTTAATGAGCTATGACCTTTGACCTACATACTCCAAAATCGAACTTAGGCTGTGTTTCGCATATTTAATGAGCTATGACCGTTGACCTTTGATCTACTTACTCCACAATCGAACTTAGCCTGTAATTTGATATCATGTACCTTCATATCAAATTTCATTAAAATCCGTCAATCATTACTGAAGTTATCAATCGGAAACCAAATTTGTTACGGACGCACGCACTGACAGAAAGACGGACTGCAGCGTTTCTATATCCCCTCAGACTTCGTCGGCGAGGGGATAATAAAATGGCAAATGCATGCAACAAATGTCTCACATGAATTCACTTGTTTTGTGTAATATAAGTGAAGTGAAGTGAAGTGAAAAGGGATCCGGTAACTTTGTCTCAGATTCTGAAACAAAATCCTGGATTTAGCTAATGCTGCAATGATAATTATAAACCTTTAGGTCAGTCAGGATCCCCATGGCTTTTACAAGCCAATCACCAGTCTGCTTATCAAGATATTTACGATTGGAAATCGAAACCAAAATTTGCGTTCCTATTCTATTGGGGAAAAGGAGTATGGTAAGACTGGTCACTCAAAGATTTTTACTTTTTGAAGCACGTCTTGATCTATTTGAAGCACAATTTTTAGGGCTTCGATATTTATATTATATTGACTGGGCTTGAGGGGTATATCAGAAATATTGACCAAGCTAAGATCATATTGCCCCCGAGTCAAGGACGAGGGCAATATGGTCTTAGTGCGGTCAATATTTCTAATGTACCCCGAAAGAAGCCCTGTCAATATAATTATTATTACCTAAACGAGGCATTTTTTAACAAACTATTAATATACAACTTTGGTAGCCTGATTTTTACTCCCGTCTGTTTGCCGGTCCATCTGATTATTCAGGCAGGTATGTAATTGTGACGTAACAATGATTGTTACTGTGTGTAATTGTGACGTAACAATGATTGTTACTGTGTGTAATTGTGACGTAACAATGATTGTTACTGTGTGTAATTGTGACGTAACAATGATTGTTACTGTGTGTAATTGTGACGTAACAATGATTGTTACTGTGTGTAATTGTGACGTAACAATGATTGTTACTGTGTGTAATTGTGACGTAACAATGATTGTTACTGTGTGTAATTGTGACGTAACAATGATTGTTACTGTGTGTAATTGTGACGTAACAATGATTGTTACTGTGTGTAATTGTAATGTAACAATGATTGTTACCGCGCGTACACTTTAATGCCTACACAATACTGCGCGTAAAGTGCACTGAAAGACAGAGTGGAATATGGCTCAATATTGCCCTCTGATTTAGTATAGTGGTCTACGGGGCAAACCCGGAAGAGGGCAATATAGCAAATATTCACCTCTCCGGTTTCATATTCGGAGCAGTGTGCAAAATACGACTTTTTATTTAGCAGCTAAAATGCCTTGTATAGGTAATAATACACCATATCATCACAGACACTGATAACAAGTAAGGCGGTGCATCTCAGATTTAACATTGTTAACGATGCCTTTACCTTACAGTTTCACATTAAACGTAGCACACAAATTTAGTAATCAACATTTGGATCATTGCAATTGAAATGGGATGTTTTATTGAGAGAAATAGAGGGAAACTGTTACCATCTCTCTCGATCTACTACAAGCAACAACATAAAAATAAAAATAAAAATGTATGAGCACTGATTTAATATACCATGCACTTACAAAGCTACATAACAAGTTTTCATCTTTATATTTGGGGATTGTAGTGATGCTTTGTGTTATAAATAAAGGGCAAGTACCCGTCTTGAAAAATCAGTTTGTGATCAATTAGAATATTTAGTACCACAATTTATCTAATATAGTTATTATAATCCATCTAGGGATGAATTTTTCTGAGCTTTAACAGAAAAAGAGAATTCCTAAAAAAAAAAAAACATTGTAATAATAAGAATAATATTAATATTTTATTTTTATATAGCGCTTAATACAAATGTCTCTAAGCGCTTTACAAATATCTTGCTAGAAGAAAAACAGAAATTGAATTAAAATTGGTCCCAATATAAATGTTTGAAGTATAAAGATTTTAGCTGATTCTGATTTGCAATGAAAATACATTTTCTTTGGTTCTTTAACCAACATTGTAATGCCATCAATAAGACGACAATATCTAAAAAGGATTATAACCCCCTGAAATTTCCTCTTTCTCTAAAGTTAAAATAAATTGATGAATTAAGCATGGTAGTTAAAGGGATAGACCAGTTCTGGTCATGCGATTGCATTGTGAAAGAAACGTTGTGGAATCGATCAGGAAAGGGATCATCTAGCATATAAGTATTGGTGTGTACTGCAAGGTTCTGGAATCATCATAACGATAACAAATTTGGCCCAGTCTTGGTAAAGTTACAAGCACTCTGTACACAGAAAGATGTATATGGGACTAGCGATATCTATCCAGGCCAGATTTTGATAATTTACCAAATATATCAATTAGTAGCCAGTTTCCACGTTTTCGTCAAAACATAATCTTTCACATGATTGGTAATAAAGAGCTTCTATTTCAATTTTTGAGAAGGGGGGCGTTTCCAAAACTGGTCTATACCTTTAAAGAAGAAAAATTATGATATGGAGCACACTTCATATCATAATTTTTATGTATGTACCGTTGAAGAGATTAATAAATAACAAGTAAAAGTTGTAAAGAAATGCTACTAAAGTAATAACTGGTAGGGGATATGAGGTTCTCGTTATGATCGCTCGTTAGTTTATAACCATTCTTATTCTTAGTCACTTTAAAATTAAAGTACATGTAATTGGGTGCACTTGCTAACAATGGCATTAGCATCACAGGTTTTACTGCACCAACTCACAAGCTTTTTTCAATGCAATGCTCAGACATGACTGATATGCCTTTGACCAGTCATAAATGTATTAAGCCTTTGAATACCATTATTTATTTTTCGTAGAACACACTCTTTCCATAGACCCCAGTCTGAGATATCTTAGGCAAGATATAGTAAATGGGTTGAGAAAGTTTGTGAGGTGGTACAGTTAAAAAAAAAACTTTGGTGCCATTCTTCGCAGGTACATCTTGTGAGCCTCAAACTTGGCATTTGTGTTAATCTGCTCAGTCTTGACTCCTTTTGTATCATGGGCTGCAAGATTGGAGTGAAAATGTATTGACGCTTAATACGAGTATGTATTTTCTTTCTGGAACAGAAAAAGGTACCCTCATGACTTTTGTGCATACCCACCTTAATGAAACAAGAATTAAAAGTCATTCATGATAACCGTTCAAAACCTCGGTAATGACTATAGCATACCTGCCAACATTTGAAAATAAGAATTAGGAATTTCTAGCAGGGTTCGCATGGCCTTACCATGGCCATGTATGCAGCGGCAGTGTAACTGGCAATAGGCGCTAAATCTGTACAAAAAAGCGAGAAACAAATTCGCTGCTCGATCCTGCAGCCCTTCAACGCACGCAATTAGCAAACTCTCATCAAATCGCGGCACATAAAAAAAAAAGCTAAATTTGGCTTTTTAAAAAAAAAATTGGTCTTCCAGAATTTTGAAAAATCAGAATATTCAGAATTTTTAGGTCCTAAAAATCCTGAAAATCTTAATATTTGGATGATTCGGAAGGGTTGGCAGGTATGCTCTAGTCATGCTGTTAGGAATGTGATGATACATGTAAGACGAATCTTGAATGAAACCTAGTTTTTGGATGCCATATTTTGATCTGAGCTAATGTGATGGTCATGAGAGCAAATATGGAAGTTCTTTTCCAACAAATTCAGGACACACATGCTTTCAGATATTATGACAATTGGTACTTTCTCAGTGAGAAACCTCAATATTCACACTAATGCATACTGCACACTGATTAAGTAGGCAGAGTGGCTAAGCCCTCCAAAACAATGTGACAATATTTGAAAAGCTTTATCAAGGAAACGGCCTACATAATGGCACGAATAAAGGCAAACATTAAGATAGAATGGTTGTTGTGGTTACATCAAGGTTACATCAAAATATATAGTTATTCCTCTTCTTCTTCATTCTGTGAACCTCCGCTTCCATCGCACACTTCAGAAATTTCCTCCTCATTGATCATTTCGAAATCATCGCCGTTGTCATCGTCGTCGTCGTCATCATCCTCCTCATCGTTGTCATCATCTTCATTTGCATCACCACTCTCTACACTTCTCTCTTCAGTAACGTCAGAGTTTTCAGGGGGAGTTACTGCTTGATCCGAACACCTTTCTTCTGTATCACCAATATTTTCTGGAATATTTTCAACAGGACCCAAATCTTGAGATATTTCTTGCTTAGGTTGGTCTTCCACTTCCGCTGCCTCGCTGCCTCGCTCATCATTTGAATCTTCCTTGGATTTTTCAGTCTTATCGTCTTCCTTTTTAGTCATATAATCAACTTCATAAAAGGGCATAAATGATTCTTTGATTCCAACATCCGCCAAGAGGTTCGGGAAAAGCCAGAAGTGAATTTTGCCAAAAGTTGAGCCCCACGTGAGGACGAATATGATGAGTCGTACTGCAAGAAGAAAAACAGACAGATAATAAATATGAGATTAAGAATTATTATATGTCTCACTTGCATGCTTTTACATGAAAAGAAATGACAAAAAGTGCATCCCAGAAAAAAAAAATAGAAATTAAAAAACCCACTAACGGCAATTGTGAGAAAACTATGAGCTTTATGATAATAATTTCTTGCTTTGCATAAAGTAGACGTCATACTCTTTCAAATGATACCATAATTGCATCAGTCCATACATGCTTCGCCGAACAACATTGTTTTAAAAATGGCATGTCAAAATCCACTTGGGCCAGATTTCGGTAACACAGTAAAAACTTTAGTATCAAATACGAACATGACTGTAACCTTTAAATTAACTGATAATTATGCAGGATTTTTATTGTCTGATGATGCACATTTACATAAGCGATTACTAAAAATAGGGGCAAATATCCATTTTCGGGACAACAACCTCAGATTTTCCCAAAATCAATGAATACCCCTGTAGCAATGAAAAAGTGCCCCTTCAATGATTTAAAATAGTGCTTATCCTAAGGGGAAACATAAAATAAAACTTTGTTTTATTATTTACTTTATACATCTATGTATCCACCCATCAGTTGTTAGTTTCCCTAAACTATGCAGCCATCGAGAACTAAAAACGTCACATTCACGCATGCCCAACCCCAGTATCTCGGCCGAGATGTGCAAACTTGGAGGGGCACACACACAAAATAATGAAATTACTTACTGATAGCCAGGGCAAAGATAGCACCTACAAATCCAGCTCCACAAAGACAGAGATAGTATGTGCCTGATCGCATCCATGGGGGCCACAGGGGAAACAGACAGACTGCGATAGCACCGATTACTGGCAAGATAGTTAAACCAAAGTCAAACATTACATTTTGGATTATCCTCACATATGGAGATAGATAACAGTTTAATAATAAAATATGATAATTTAATATAAAACCTAAGATTTATCAAGATGGTATCCACAAAGAAAAAAGGTCATGTACTGGGATATAGATATATAGTGACAAAATATGTGGGCTAAAAGACAAAATGTGTTTTAATTGGAAACCTGATGCAACAATTTTGTAACGTCTTGGAAAGATGACATAAAATTGGTGATTTAAAAATTGGAAATACTCTTTGTTTTGTGTGCATTAAAAAGAAGGTTCATTGATTATAAAAACTAACTTTATTGTCATTATTACAAAGGTGAAACTTTGATTGGACAAGGTTATCAAAATTTGATGCTTGGAAAAGTTCGAAGTAATGATTATTATCAACTACAAAACGCTCAAATACAGCTCCGGCATAGCACCTGAAGAGCTCTCCGAATGATGCTGAGATGTGTGACATCACATGTTGAACATGATTTGCACAAGCAGATGATGTCCCATGACACCTCACACATTTTCAGTGCCTGTTCTGTCATCTTCTCTTCAGTTATTTCTTTTACTTCACTACCGTCAGACTAAATGTTTAATCTATTGCCTCACTCTGAACCCTGCGCATGGTAATATTTTGATGAAAAATGCAGCAATAAAAATATTAAGGAATCTGTGCTTGGCGTTTTAAGAGGGAACAAGTGCCGTCCATGGTATCATTCCGAGGGTTTTTCAATTTTAAAGTGTGTTTTCTTTGGCTGTTGAATAATGTTTATTAACCCCTATCCTGTGTATTTACAAACAGAAGAATTTAGTTATCGGTATCGGTTTCATATCCCTTTGTGAATGGTGTAAAATGCCATCACATTTATATACACTAAACTCATTATAATCTGAGAGATTATAGCATTGCAATTATGTTCATTCTTGGGCAGGATTGGAGCATATTGTGACGTCATTAAAACATCGTTATTTTTCTGACGAATTTCTCGTATATCATAGATGTTGTGGGGGTGGTTTTATTTGTATTTTTTATAAATCACCCGATATGTAGTTGACCTAAAACTTGTCCGATGGCCATCTGCTAGCTTACTAATGTCTAGTGACAAGTTATTTGGCATATTTGTGATTTTCCTTGAACGGGCACTTTAAAATGAAAAGGCAATTCCCTAAAACTTTTCACAATTACTATGATTGCTCATTGCTCACCTAGTCCAAGTCCGTAAACATAGTTCATTGGGCGGATAGGGTCATATACCCAGACAAAGGCCTGAAACATCAACAACAAAATGAATAAATAATTATACATATAATATCACTGTTCTTGAACATGAAACAAAGAAATAGCTGAAAAAGTTGATAGATGTAGAAATCATTTTTCTGGTGCTGCAACATTTTTTCTGGCAACGAATCTCCCAGCTGTATTTGTGATAGGTTAGGGTGAGGTTTAGTTTTGGGCTAAGGTGAGGAATAGAGTACCAAAGCTGTGACGTCATAAAAATCTATTTTTAGAATTTCTCAATTTTTTCTTCATTTTCCGAAGGAGCATCAAAAATAATGTCCAAATGTCTAAAGTGAATTGAATATGTTAAGTATTGGCTGAGATATGACCATCCGAATGAATATATTTCCCATAGGAACTCAGTGTTATATGCTCTGGCTCCTAATGGTTAGGAGCCAGAACATATAACACTGAGTTCCCATAGGCAATCTTTTTATTCAGATCTATAGTGTCTGGTCCAAGGTTGCAGTCATGGATATGGTCAGATATGGTCAGATCTTGACCACAGAGCAATTATTACTGGAGCATGTGTCACACAACCATTTTTTCCAGCAAATACAGTATTGGTATTGCAGACATACGACTATGATAGAGAATGTATATTATACACATATGTGTATGTATGCAATCACATATAAACACATCAGAAAGCTTACATCATTTCCATCCACAAACTTCTGGTCATCGGTCAGTTCGAGTTTGATCTTCTTCTTTCCTTCCTTCTTCTTTGGAGGCGTTTCTTCCTTCCCGGCATCTTTTGTATCTTTAGCTCCATCTCCTTTGGTTTCTTCCTTCTCCTTGTCATCACCCTAGAAAGAAAGAAAAAATCTTTTATAGCATAGTGTAGTCATATTTACATAGCATACAAGTATTAAAGAGCAATGAATGGCACAATTTTGAACAGCGAAGCTATATAAATCCAGTAGGGGCTGTAAAAGTTTAAGCTCTTTCAATTTTCTGCTCTGCTTGACCTTGAGGTGAGTGCCAAACAAACCTTCTAACTGCCACAGGAAAGCAATGTCCCATTCAGTATCATTGAAGGTTCTTCAAATTCTAAATTACTGATAAGTGCTATGGATATTGTCTGCAAACACTCTACCTTGTTATGATTTAACAATATGGTCAATACTGAGTACAAGTAAGGACTACAAATCCTGCAACATTATGTATTCTATGTCATTCCACAATGAGAAGAAATCTTTTTTTTAAATCATTTATACAACCAAAGAGGACTTGTGAATTTCCTACAAATTTCGAAAGAAATATACATAACTAACTAACCTTAGTTTGTTAGGTGCATTGTATAACACACAATAATTCCTGATTATTTTTACCTTCTCTGTAGGTTCAGCCTCTGTTTTCTTCTTTTCCTTCTTGGACTTCTTCTCTTTCTTACTTTCTTCCTTCTCTTTCTTACTTTCTTCCTTTTCTTTCTTGCCTTTCTTCACGATCTTTAGGGCCCGGTAGAAAAGCCCCTTCCACAGCAAGCTAAAATCAATCAAAGTTCAATAACTTTCATACCTGTATCTTCAAATCGCCATCACTTTTGAGTGGTGAATCTTTTACAATTAAGGTACTATCACGCATTGCCTTTTTACATCTCCTTTTTCTAGTGTAAGTCAATACAGATAACTTTGCGTAAATCAATCTTGATGAGACTGAGAGAAATACTTCCGCTAAGGCAATCTTTGACTTGTGTGTAAGTCTTAGAAATTTGACTTACACATGTGTATTACATATGCAAAAGAAAGCCTAACTGCTTTTATTAAACCAACTTATTATCAGCATAGACTTCCCCTTTAATGAACAGGCAATTTTTAAGGAATTGGGGGTATCTGTATGTGTGTGTTGTGTGTACATCTCCAGAAATAGCGCATTTAGCAGTGATTATGCTAAAGCAAGAGTCCCAAGATATAAACGATGGAAATTTTGCAGCACGAGAACCAAGAAAAGGAGAGACGAGGGAGCTACAAGCTATATGTAAATAAAATGGGAAGGGTGCTTAATTGAACACGATCCTATGAAAGTTCTTTTTAATGAATAATAATAATAGGCATTTCTATAGCGACATCTATCTAGAAATTATATTCCGAGGGGCATTTATTATTACCCCGGCTTTAGCCTAGCTGCCATTACAGCGCTCCAGCATTTCAAGGAATTAATTCCTGCCAGGTACCCATTTACATCACCTGGGTCGTGTGAGGCAAATGTAGATCAATGTCTTGCCAAACAAAACCATGTCAACTCAAAACTGATGGACTTGCTTACCATAAGTAAATCTTTCAAAATAATCATGAAAAGGAAAGTTGAATAAGTCAATAGATAATAAATAACAAATCACCTAGAAAGAAGAATGAACCCAAAATAAAAAGGAACCCAAAATAAAAAGGAGCACAAAATAATTCCATTTTAAAGTCCATGATCGTCCAAAAAATAATCACTGTAAGATCGAGGAAATACTGAAAGAAATACGGTAGGTCAAACTGAACTACCGTATCTGCCGGCGATAAGGCCGCAGCGCCGCATAGGCCCCACCCCCGATTTTGACATTTAAAAAAAAAAAAAAAAAAAAACTTTTGTCGAGGACAGGATTTGAACTCTTGCGTACAATTGTTGATGTAACTAAAGTCACCACCTTAGACCGCTCGGCCATCCCGCACTGATGCTATCCCTTGCAGTTTTTTCTGATGTATACATTGCGCCTTTTTTTTTTTTTTACTCTTTCACTACAAAGGCCGCACCCTGACTTTTTGATATTTTCTCTTCCAAAAATACCGCGGCCTTTACGCTGGCAAATACGGTATGCCAATCCTGATCCACTTTTGATTGCAAAAGTTAACTTTGCAGCATTGACCAGAAGTCTGCATTGAAGAGAGATTATTGGGGGGGGGGGGGCAGAGCAAGAGGGAGAGAGACAGGGGCGGGTTAGAGAGAAAGAGAGAGGGAGACAGGCGAATCCAAGAGAAAACTAGAAATATCGTAATTTGTATTGCCGCGCAATGCGAATGTATCCCCCGGCAGTGGCAGTGATTTTGTGTCATCCTTATGTTCGAAGGAGGGACAAAGATCTCCTCTCCCCTCCCTGAAACAAAAGGATGACATAGAGATCGCCACTAGTGGCTCGGACTATTGTCAAGACTAGGATAGGAGCAGCATCACCAAACCAATATGTGTGTAGATTAGAGTATAATGCATCTCTGTAGAAAATTTGAAAGAAATCCGTCAAGAAATGCGGCAGTTAGAGCGCATAAAAGACATATGACCTTTGACCATATACAAGATGGAACAATGAGGGCAATATCGCCCAAAAGTGTAGATGTGTAGATTGTACCAACATACATCTCCTTTCAAAATTTGAAAGAAATCCGTCATGAAATATGACCTGCAGAGCGCACACTAGACACCCACCAAAATATGACTTTTGACCCTGTAAGACATGGGACACTCGTGGAAGCTTCCCCAAAAAGTACAGGTGCGTAGATGTTATCATCATACACTTCCATACTAAATTTGAAAGAAATCTGTTAAGAAATGTCATCCTATTTATCAAAATATGACCTTTGACCCTATAAAAGACGGAACACTGGAGGCAGTATCAGCAAAATCTATAGGCTTGTAGATCGTACCAAGATAAACCTTCGTTCAAAATTATAACAAAATCTCTTGAGAAATGTGGCCTATAGAGCGCACACAAACCATCCACAAAAATATGGGCTTTTACCTTATAGAAGACGTAACAATGGGGGCAGCATCACCAAAAGTTATAGGTGTGCAGATTATACCAAGATACACCTCCATACAAAATTTGAAAGAAATCCGTCAAGGAATGTGGCAGTTAGAGCGCACACAAGAATATGATGCGGCGGACGGGCCGGCGGCATAACGCTGCTAAATCCCAAGTACCCCATCGGCATACTTGCCGGGGGATACAATGAGAACGGAGGAGCGTGTGCCAGCAAGTCTAGAATACAGGGCCACAGAGAGCGTATTTATGGAAACAAAATCAGTGCGTGATGCATGCTTTGAAAGTGATTGATTTCGTTCGACTTTGGCGATGTAAATTTAGTGGTTTTCGATTGGAACGGTCCTGGAAATTTGATCAACTAGGGCACTTAACTGACTGACAAAATTAGAATAATACACTACAGAAATTTAACACAAGTTAATTTTCGTCGACTTAGGCAGTTATTCAACATATATACGAGGTTGACTGTATAATATTAATGGGCAAATTTGATGACAACTGATCTTACAACAGTTCTCCATGGGCAATTTATTAGACTATTTTTAATTCCCAAATTCAAGTCTGGACATATCAATATACCGGTACCTAAACCTTAAAGCGTATCTGCCATAGTTTACAGGAGGGATTAGACTGCCCTGCAAGGTCACTGGACAGGTGGTTATCTCATCAACTCAGCTCTCAGTTAACATAAGAAAAAGAGGATCATGGGGGACCAATGGTCACCGATTAGGCATGGTTTGTTATATAGAGGGCGCAAGTAGCTACAAGTAGTGTAGTGGGCCTTTAACCACTACTACCCAAAGCCCAATTTTAGATACACTTGCAATCCTGACCATATATTTTGAAAAAAATCAAGACTAAAGCAAATGTCACCCAAGCACATATCCCATCAATGCCTGACATAGCAATAAATAATGTATGCAATGTGCATTACAAATATTGACATATGAATTATTATAGCTGCTAGCATGGAGAAGAAGTGTTCATAAATTTAAGTAGAGTCAAAGCTGTCGATTCATTCAAGGGAAACAGAGAAAGTGGCCAGATACACATATTTCACTCTTGAGGGAGACAAAATGCATGGCCACTATAAAAAGGTGGCCACTAAGACAGGTGGCCACTATAGAAAGGTGGCCACTAAGACAGGTTCCACTCAATCTTTTGTACATTAATCAATTATCTACTGGTATTTTCTTACCCATCTAGGTAATTTGCAACAGATTCCCTGTCAGTGAAGATCACCTCTTTTTTCCCTTTTCCTGTCGCCCACTTAGAGTCCAGAAGGAAGTCTACAGCCTTGGATCCTATCAGACAGAAAAGAAAACACGTTTATCATTGTGAAAGCTGCTGAAACATCAAATCGTCTATTTGGAGCCAGAAGGGCATTAAATCACATCATTTGACACAGAGTTAATGCCCTTCTGACTTCAAACAGACAAACAGATGAGCAAATGTACTTTTAGTGTTCTAACTTAACGAAAACAAATTTATGTACCCATAGAAGACAAATCCCTGGATTAATTGTTTTATATTTGTGGTTGCAATCATTCTTTTACACTGCCTTGCCAATATGATACCTCCCTGAACCAGATGAAGAACAAACAAACAATATGTAGGCCTACCTGTGAAGTACTCTACTTTGTGCCCATCTATGGAGGTATTTTTGATTGGTAGATTGAAACGCAGATGTCTGGCTACAGCAGTCTCCTCCTTAGTAGGTTTCTCCAACTCAGCATTCTACATCAGGAGATGAAAAAAATTGAAATCTATTCTACCAATGAGTAATGACGCGTGCCTTAGCATATTGAACTCATTGCCATTATGATGAGTATTATCAGCAAGTATCGTTTCGTGTCAATTTTCTTATCTTTTTCAGAGTATTTTTCCTAAAAAGGAAGACTTATAATATGCACTTTCTCACGGGATTCACGGCAAACTGCAGCACAATTACGTACAGATGGTGGGGTGCGGGTGCACGCATGTGTTCAGTTATGGACGTAAACTAAGATTACATTTGCTAACCTTACACACTCGCCCGCCCGCACTCCGTTGTTATGGTATGAAATTGTATTGTGCTGCAGTTTGCCGTGAATCCCATGAGAAAGTGAATATTATAAGTCTTCCTTTTTAGGAAAAATACTCTGAAAAAGATTTTAAAAATAACACGAAACAGGTAACAACTAACAAACATATCGACTTTTAAATCATGACCTTTATTTGGACATTTGATGAATATTTACTTCATTTTGGGTATGTTTTAGTAGGATATTTACACGCCTGAGTTACAGGTCAAATTTTGGATACGTTTCTGAACAAGCGCCGACCCTACATTCATGTTGGAAGAAAGACTAGGGTAGCGCGCCCAGAATTCGGTCCATTCCTAGTATTCGGTCAGACAGCCGTGTCAACAGCTGTAACTATTTTTTTTTTAAATTATGAGCCACGAAACTTGCACAAATCAGGCAGCTGAACAACTTTTCTTAACTCTCAAAATTAAATCAGATATAGGGCCCCGGAAAGATCTCCAACTTAGCTCGAAATTGGTCAGTGTCGCACAACTTTCTGCACTTCCGCGTTCTGTTAACACATGCATAGCCATATGTAGAAGTTTATTGCGAAACAACTACGTGTGCTGTTGCAAGTATGTGTGTGAAGAGGAGCTCTTCCGTGTTCGCTCTATCGCAGCAAATTTGCAAATGACGCACTTGCAGATGTGCAAGAGGTATTTATACGATACCCTTGCCATGCGGTATCACTCGGCCAGTATTTGGTCAACGCATTGACATTCAGTGCTTTGTCGCGCGATTGTGTGAAAATCGTGCGCAAATACGCTCTGCTCCTTGGCAAGGGAGATACCACGCACAAATAGGCCTGTAACAGATGATCGGATCGGAGGCCGATCTTGAACCGATTAGGGGTGGTCGGATAATAATTTCTGATCGATCAATAGAAATGATCAGAAAAAAATCAGCAGATTTTTTTTCAAAAGTGTTTTTCAAGTGTTTGGCTATCAAATGCTTTAAAAAAATTCCTAGCTGGGATTATTTCGTCATGTGGAGTTGTTTTAGACCATGTTTGTTGATATTTAGTGCCTTTACATGACTTTGAAATTAATAATATTGGTCTAAGAGAAGAGGCAAAACATGCGGGCCGCCAAACATGGTCTACAACAACTTCAAATGACAAAATAATCACAGCCATGAATTTTTTTTTTAGCATTTGATAGCCAAAACTTGAAAATTTTCAGCATTAAAAAAATATTTAAAAAAAAAAATCAGCTGATTTTTTGGTCGATCTTCCGATCCGATACTGATCAAAGGTGCGAGGGTGTCGCTCCGATCTTCCGATCCGATCAGAGCCCCAACTTACATGGTTACGCACAAATCTTGTGACCAAATTCTGTTCGGAAAAATTTTGCTTATCATCATTCTTTATTTTAAGTGACTATAAAATCCTGTTAAGAGGAATAATTTTCTTTTCTTTTGATGGGTAGATTGCCAAATAAAAGAGGTAAGAATCCAAAATATTAGCAATCTTCCCTTAAAGTGACTTGGTAACATTGTTGAAGGTTGATGAAAAAAATTGCTTAATTTTTGTATATAATGTTACTTACTATATTCCTTCTACTGTACTAACCCTCTGACATGCAAATAATCCTGAAAAAATTCTCAAACCACAAAGATATCTATGGTTTTCTTTGAAGGCGTTGATGTACGACACCCTCTAACAGTGATTAACAGTAAATTCTCCCAACCATTTTTCCATGAAAAAAAGACATAAAACAGGCTATAAAAAATCTGTCAACACTTAAATGTCTGGAATGAAATGTAGAGCCATTTCATTGCTTTGTGACGATTTCCATTCACCTAAAATGTAATTAAATTGTAATAATATAGAGTAAGACCGCCAAACTTTGGACACTTAAGACAAAACGGGGGAAAACATTAAATTCTTTTTTAATTATTGAAAGACCAAATATACTATTATGGTGCAAATACTGTTTATACAGTATATGTCATGTAAAAGAAAATTAGTAAAGGAAATGGAGAACTAGAATTATTAACTTACCCGCCGAACCTTTTTTCATTCCAAGCTTCAGACGCACTTGCCAAGCTTCGGACGTTCATGTGTAGCGCACGTATAGCGCATAGTGCGCGTGCTAAAGTGAGGAAAATACGCATTCATAGGAGGTTTGGAAACCGGATCAAAAATCGTAAGACTGGGGTAAGTTTGACTGCATTGATTTCATGAAAAAAAAGGTTATGTTATATTTGTCCCACATTTTACAACATTTAAGTATGTCAATTTAATGTTAGTATAGAAAGAATTTTTTTAAACTCACTTATAAAGCACTTTTTTTTCCTTTTTTTACAGAGACGGCTGCATGATTCCATTCCTCGATTGCGATGACATCAAAACTGCGCATGTTGCACACACCATACAATTCTACATCCGACAACTCGCCACAAAGACAACTCGCCCCCGGACAACTCGACTTAACACCCTGGACAACTCGACCGTAGCAGGTTGTCCAGGGTATTGTGGCGAGACATCCAGGGCACTGCGTCGAGCTGTCCAGGGGCGAGCCCTCTTTATGGCGAGTTGTCTGGAATTTGGTGAAACCATACGTGACGCGATCTAAAGCTCTTGCGCAATATCTGACCGGTAGTTGTCTTATCTCGCAGACGTTTTTATTTATTGCTTTATTGCAGGTTTAAAGCACCTAGGCCTCTTATTACGTACAAATTTCTAATTAGACTATAGAAATGCCTATTATTAGTATCATTATTATTATTATTAAGACCCCACAATTGCTTAATTGAATATTATACTTTGGAATTATATAGTAATGCTCCGCCACCCCTGTCGGCTTAGTTGGGCTGAAATGTATATGTATTTAATACCAAACTTAAAAACCCTCGTACACAATAGCCTACTGCTGAGCTGTGTACACAACTGATCGCGTCCATATCAACAAATTTCAATTCTGGCGTAGAGGTCGAGACCGGTCTTTGAAAAAAATATCATTAAATTCGAAAATGGCTGCATTAGCTGAAGACGATTGGGCTGTAAGCAAACAAGTAGAGGTCTAGGCCAGATGTCTGGAAATCAAGGAAATTTCCACCAACGAAACTTGTAAGTTCCATTCTTTATGTATTTGTGATGGGTTATATCCCATGTAAATTATTAGTAGGTCTTTTAAAAGTTATTATCTTTCAGAAATTTAAAAACATCTTGGTCAAAACAGCCATTGAAATGTTGTTTGCATCCTAGCTCCAAAATTTGCCACTTTCCTGAGCCGCGCCCCCACGGCTTAAGTGGGGCTAGACCACACATAGCACGAAGGAGAATTACACACAAAACTCGCGCAATGCGCTCTTCTGTTCGCTCAAGCCCGACTGACGTCATTTTTCATTCATAAAAGTGCTAGCGTCACAATGCTTGCAGTTGATTGGGTGTTTACTCATTTCATTTGCATATTTTCCCACAATGTTAAACCTATCAGTGCGATGATTTCTGCCTGCGACTTCTCAATTACGTTGTTATCAAACTCGTCATATTTCCATCCTGACTTCGATTTTTGAACAATTTTTTTCGCCATCGGTGTCATCGATATTTCTAGGTACTTTCAGCAAAATCGTATGGTGGTTCTTTGTTCCGCAACATCGTTGAAACCATAAACACTGAAAGTGTCTTTGGTCGCCAATTTTTGCTTGGTGTTCAAGTTTAGTGCAGGGCCCCGCTCCCGCAACACGGCCGCTACAATACACGGTACAATACACCGCGCACAGTGTAGCGAATCGCCCATGCCTTGCAGCTAGCAGACAAGCGAGGGTCGCGCGATCAGCCAATCAGCGGGGCGTATTTCCGTTCACTGAGTTGGATAGAGGATTCTTCTACGTGCATAGGAGCATAGGAGCATCACTATCCTGGCTGTGTAGTAAAAGCTGTGCTTTTTTGATTCTCAACATTTAAAACACCACTGTACAAAACTAATTTCACTAAAAATCGGTACTTTAGTGACAATTGATGACACCTAAATAGCAGTAAAATACATTTTTTCAACTTAAATATGTTAAAAATGAATAATTTAAAAATTCAAATTCTATTTGTCTCCGCGATTTTGCCATCGACTATAACGTGTAATCACTTCCGGGTACTATTGTGCGAACGGCTAGCCATAGATCTACTAGTCAATGGCAAAATATATCGCTGAGACAACGTGGCTCAAGCTGCAAGTTGCGCATAACATGCGTTCGTTATGCATATGCATGCATATGCTTGCATATTGTGCGATACAGCTGTTTGGCTAAATTTAGCAAAACAACATAACTCTGCGTGTACGTCTTTTTGTCGATTCTGATCAACATGCTATCCTATGATAGAAACATCGGTGAGACTTGAAATTTGAAATGTATTATTCCGATTACATTTTTAATTCAAATATCAAACAAAAATGGTGAAAAACGATCCCAAATTGAAAATTGAAAAATCGTTCAGACACCCTAATACGGGCCTAGATCTAATAGGCCTAACAGTTAGACCTGATGCTCCTAAATATGTGTGCATGAAAGTTAATGTTGAACTTTGAACAACTGATGAAGATTTAGTTGATTTTTGGTTTTAGTAGGGTATCTCCACGTCAGAGTTACGGGTCACAGTATGGATATGATTCTGAATACATGTCAGTACAAAAACAATGAACAGCTGTCAGTCACTGTAGACTAAATGAACTTCTTTCAACTTGCCCCTCTGCCTCCCTTGCATATAATGAGAATTTTTATTAAAGAGTATGAGTACAAGAAGATAGACCAAGAAGATAGACCTGGAAGCTCGACTGCTGTCTCAGCATTCTTCCAGTATTTGCGGTAAAGGTAAAGGTAAAGGTAAACTTTCCAGTGCAGTGCATTTCGCAATGTACACATTTGTATTCATTGCCATTGCATTGCACTGCATCGGCATTGGATGCATCGTTATCTGAATGAAATAGTGGAACACACATAGGTCTAGGTCTACACTCCATAATTCCAGCATTACAATCTTTTCAATACAATACAAAAAACTGATTACACTTTAATTGTATTTCAGTAAGTTTGGCTATGTGATTACCTCTTTCTTCTTTCGACGTCGAGATGAACGTTCCGCCATCTTGACAAGTTTTATAAATTATGCTCCCGTACCGTGACGTCGTGCGTACGTACGTACGTCCACGTATGTAGTGCGCGCGCGATTAATCACACGTCTCCTCCAGTCGAGTCGTTATCTGAACTTTATAAACATGTAAACGTAAATACAGAAAAGGGGGAAAGTACGGAAGCCCATTAGTGCCACCTACGAAATAAATTTAAGAGAAATTATCTGGCGGCCGCCAGATAATTAACTGGCGGCCAATTATCTGGCGGCCGCCAGATAATTTCTCTTAAATTTATTTCGTAGGTGGCACTAATGGGCTTCCGTAACAAGCCCTACTTTAAGCAGAACGGTTATATTACACCCTCTGGAAAATAGTGCTGGAAAAATTGGGCAGCTCTTCAGAAGTAATACACTTGGCACAAGTTATATTTGCCACGTCTGATAAGAAATATGGAAGTGAGAGATTAGTGGACCAATGACAGCTAAAAACGTAACCATTTGAAGAGCTACGTCTATCCGACTCTTAGTCGATCGAGGTCCACTCTCCGCCGGAAGAAATAGAAATGGTAATAGACCTGGTTTATCAACATCTCACTATCTTATTAGACTATTGCATAACATTTTTGACTTGTGAGAGACCAAAATCTATATCAACTATTATTTGTATCGATTTTTGACAGATTGGATTACAATATTTTGATTAGGAATTATTGATTGATCTCAATGTCAGACCATTTATTATAAATTGGGTAATAAGTTTTTTAGAACAACGTTTTCAGTGTGTAAAATGTAAAAATGTTTGTTCTAAATATGTCCATGCCGGGGTTCAGGCGCGCCGGAAGCAGTTTGGGATTGGGGGGGGGGGGGGGGGGCCGGGGGAACATTCCAGGGGCCTCACCTTCCAAGGGCAGTGACATAATGAGAAAAAAACGTTCGGAAGGGGGGGGGGGGAGACGAAAAATCTGCATCATCACCACCAGTCTTACACGTTACATGCAGGTCCCGCGGAACGTTTTTCAAAGTGGAGTATTTACGATCAGGTAGAGCGTAAATTGGCGTGGGGTCCAGGGCATATGAGCCTCGGCAGGGGGTCAAGGGGCAGGGCCCCCGGAAGCTCAGGATTTTAGGTATTTAATTACGGTCAGATGAGCATCCAGGGGCCCGCCTTAGGGCCCTTGGTGGGGTCCAGGGGGCAGAGCCCCCGGAAGCTCAGGATTTTAGGTATTTAACTACGGTCAGATGAGCATCCGGGGCCCCCCTTAGAGCCCTTGGTGGGGTCCAGGGGGCAGAGCCCCTGAAAGCTCAGGGGTTTTAGGTATTTAATTATGGTCAGATGAGCATCCGGGGCCCCCCTTAGAGCCCTTGGTGGGGTCCAGGGGGCAGAGCCCCCGGAAGCTCAGGATTTTAGGTATTTAACTACGGTCAGATGAGCATCCGGGGGCCCCCCTTAGAGCCCTTGGTGGGGTCCAGGGGGCAGAGCCCCCGGAAGCTCAGGGGTTTTAGGTATTTAATTACGGTCAGATGAGCATTTTTTATACCTTATTTGTGACATTGGCAGGTCACTTATTTTTTCTCTCCACCTTTCTTTCTTTTTCTCTTTAAATTACTTTTTTCAAAAAGTGAGGGGGGGGGGGGGGCTCGAGCCCAGCCACTTTGCAGACCATGACATAAAGGCTTCTAAATAAGCGTATTTTTCGCCCGACTGTAATTTGGGAATTCCTTATTTTCCAACAAACGCATAAAAATGGTTTACAAAAAAATGGAGAAAAAATACCGGAAAATCATGTCATAACAGCAACATTTGTAAATCACTGGTATCGTATAGATATACCCCCCCCCCCCCCATCAGTACGCCAGCGTTCAGGGGCTCATGTCTTCTCACCCCTATAACAAAACAAAAAAACAGACACGCTTTCCCATTCTCGCACAATTATGTCCACGATATGCGCATGTCGCTATTATAAACCGTATATGTAGCATGCGTTTGAATGGAATGGTATATGTGATTTAATTCAGGTTTTTACTATTGTTATGCTCTTTTGGGTTAAAAATACAAACCATGTTTATTCCTTTACTGCTTTTTTTTTTTTTTTTTTTTGGAGGGGAGTGGGGCCCCCCTCGTGTTAAACAAAATGCAATACCATATTGTATTGATCTTCTTAATAATCGCTGATTGTTTTAAGTTTTTCTTTACAAACCCGATCATAAAAGCATTAACATATATTCAAATATCCCCTACCATCCCTAATGTAACTAAATGCGACCCCACCCTTATCACACATCCTGCTAACAATTGATTTAATTAGTTATAACATATGCTACATATTATCTAATTTAGTCTGTTATTACACTGATTATGTTTACGGCAAAAGCCAATGGGATTGCGAAATTTAAATATAAAAATGATAAAAATATTTTTGAACATGTTTGTTACACAAATTTAGCGTGCCTAACTGACGGTAATTCATTGTAAAACATGGATCCACGATACAAAAATGTAACGTTTCGGAAGCATTAAATTTTCATTATATCTTAGTATGACAATTTTCCTTAAATACAAATTTATCAGTCATATATTTAGGTGCTAGCTCATGAAACAGTAACAAATAAATATGTCTCCTACACCAAGATGTTAGGGTTTCCCCAACTCAAGGTATCGTGAATCTGATGTTCACAAGGTTTAACCTGAAGAATAATTCTTCCTGCCCGATTCTGAAGCTTTTGAAGTTGATCAAAACGATTATTATTTGCAATTTGCCGAACAGTATCCGCATAGTCAAAGTGAGGCATGATTACAGATGCTTAGTTCAAAGCAAAACAAATAACGTTATATTCCGGCTTTAACCACCCCCGTACAGCTCATTTTATGTATGTTATTACCAAAGAAAAACAGATATCAGCCAGTCACTCAATAGTGTCTGACAATGAAGTCTAGAAAGTTAAGGGGTTTCCTTGGATAAGTTGAATACTAAGTCACTGCTAAATCCAGAGGCCGCGCTCCCGTGGGGGGGGGGGGGGCAGGGGGCACAGTGCCCCTCCACTTTTTCAAGTACCCCATAATTGCCCATTTTTCCATAGGAATAGTGCCCCTTTTACTTTGACTAGTGCCCCCAGGGGCGTACGCAGGGGGGGGGTTTGGGGGTTAAAACCCCCCCCCTTTGGTATTTTTATGTGTGTAAACCCCCTAAAAAAAACTAAACCCCCCCCCCTTTTTTTTTTTTTTTTTTTTTTAATTAAAAAAAAAAAAAAATATGCCCACGACTAACGTAAAGTGACCTTACCCCTTTTTATCTGTGATAAGTGCCCCGTTTAGTTTATCATGTGCCTCTTTTTCATTTTAACAAGAGCCACTTCCCCCTTCTCATAAAAGCCCCCTTTTTTCACCTACGATAAATGCCCCTATTCAAATCTTATCGGTGCCTTTTTCTTTCAACAAATGCACATTTCCCTTTATCATTAGTGCCCCTTTTTCATTCTCATAAGTGTCTCTTTTCGTGTATGGTCAGTGCCCCTTTTCAGATACGATAAGTGCCCCTTTTCACATCTGATAATTACCCTTTTAGCAATGATATGTGCCCCATTTTCCTTTTTGATAAGGAACCTATCCCTCATTCATAAATGCCCCTTTTCACTTCTTATAAATGTCTAAAATCTAATGGGTGCCTCTTTTCCGTCGACAAATGCCCATTTCCCATTCTCAAAAAATCCCTTTTCATCCCTGTTGCGCGCCTCTTTTTTAGGTGTAAAAGGTGCCCCATTTTCACCTCTGATAATTAGCCGTTGCTCCTTTTCTTTTCTAATAAGTGTCTTAACCCTTTCGATAAGTGACACCTATTCCTCTCATCATTAAACGTGCCCCTAATTTCAAGCAACTAAGAGAAATTGCCCCCAAAGCTCGTTTGCTCGTAGTTACAGATGTTATAATTATGTAACTTATCAAAGATCTTTTTAGTCTTCCGTTATGAGAATGTGCTTATAACCCCATCAGGATTGGGGTTTTTCTCTTTAAAAGATGTAATTTTTCGCACTGCGACCTCACAGATCTTTAAAAATTTCCTCGCTCGCTTTGCTCTCTCACAAATATATATTTCAGACCATCACACCCAACTGCAAGGTATGATGCTTAAGCAATATATTATATGATGTATAAAGAGAAACAAAATATTGAAATCACCCGTGATAAAGTAATCACAATATAGGGGTATATACCAATGTCTAAAAAAAATAATTATATTTTCACTTTGAGATTTCCCTTTGAAGGTGTCCTTTTTTTCTCCATAAAGTGCCCTTTTTTGTTGGTGCCCTCCCACTTTGGAAGACGCTCCGCCGCCTCTGCTGCTAATGTTTAAATTTCACAGATAGGACATACGTGACATGTTCATAATTCCTACAAAGTTCTACAAAATTCGATGTTGGCTGCAAAAGTTACATAGTATCTTTGAAAGAAATATGTATTTGGGCTATCATCATGATAAGGAAACCTAACCCTTTTTTCGGTTTAATAAAATTTGGAGTGGACTATTATTATTATTATTATTATTTATTATACTATTTTGAAGCAGTTGTTTCTTCTGGTGTCTGTTTGGTAAAGGCGAGGCTGGAGGCGACATTTCACCTTTCACGGTGATATTCCGTGATCTGCTACCAGGATTACGATGGGTTCAAGCCCTTACAATGGATTAACGATGCATCACAAGTTAGCGTTAGTGAAATCCTACCCAGGAGTAAAGTGAAATCCAAAAGCAGCTCATCGCCAATGGACGATGGATGAAACTTAGCAATCGATCGATCCAGGCGCAGGGGGGGGGGGGGGGGGGTGTTTTGGGGGTTAAACCCCCTCCATTTTGTTTTGGGGGTGAGCCCCCCCCCTCCACCCCCACTAAGCTAAATATCGGTCAGCGCGATTTTCTAATTTCGGGGGGCAAAAAAGGGGCAACAAATATTGCCCCTGCCTTAAAAGGACGTCACATTGCCTTAGAAGGATGTCACACGTGGCAGTCCACGTTCTCGTCGTGCAAATCTAAAAGTTCCTATTGCCTACTACAAGACGTCAATGCCATTACCC